CGTAATTAATTTCGTAATTACGTATTACGTATTACGTATTACGTTTTTGGCAAAATAATTACCATAGCATGTATAGTGCCAGCAGCCATCTCTGGTCTGAGAAGATTAGTGAAAGTGTCATTTGACGATTGATGCAGTCTCAGTAAACTCCAGGGCCATACGCTCCCCTTGGAGTTCTGTTGCACGATTGTATAATCGGAGAGCCATGTTCAGATTAGCCTTTTGTACATGAGGAATGTGTGAGAATGACTGTAAGTGTTCAAGGCAGCATGCATGCTTCAACACCTGTAAATTTCCAATAATCAAACATTGCATATTTGAAATGTTTCATATTCAATAGTGTGCTGCCTTGACATCTTGTAATTATATAGTAATATTAATATTATCAATATTAATGATTACAAAAAGCAAAATATTATCAATGAAAATCTTGTAATTACCCAGCAAGATCTGCACTGCGTTTTGATTCCAATTAAAATATTTATAAACTAAAATAAAAATATCAATACAAATAAAAAAAGTACCTCTGGTTAGTTATTAACATGTTTTCTTTAGGAGACCCAAACCAAACCAAACAACAACATTCATGATTTGTCACCTTGGACTCTGTCAAAAAATAAATTGTTTTTTCCAAAAAAAAAAATCAATTAATTCGCATCTATCCTACCAAAAAAAAAACCAATAGGATAAATAATTAATGTGTACATGTTGATCAAATCACAAACTTCTTTTATTTTTGTAAAAATGCCAAAAGATGCAAAAGCAAGAAGTGGAAGAAATTGAGAAAATGATAAGTGTTTTAAAAATAAGGATGGTGGTGGTGGTTATTGCCCACCACTCATCATTACTCTAGTTATTAAAAAATAATGGTATTAATAAAACATTCCCTATCACATTAATTTCCATACTTGAAGAAATAGATACTAATACACTCAATCTGTAAGTAAATTACATTCTCTTCAAATATCAAACTAATTATTTTATTTAATGAAACTTTGACTTTTTTTTTCCCATGACATGAAAAATTAGGAAGAAATCATAGAAAATATCATAAACCAATTAAGCATATATCAACGAGTATTGCAAAAGAGGCACTTGGTAATGAAAATATATTAGAAAATTTAAAAAACATCATAATCAAAGCATCAAAGATTATAGACGATTATGTCAAAGTAAGATCTGACAAGTTTTCTACTTATATGTTCCTTTTTTTTATTTGTTTTGATTTTTGTAAATTTATATTCTTTATTTTGTACAATAAAAGGATAATTATAGTGATGACAATTTGGAAGTTGTCAATAATTTGGAAGAAAATACTGAAGCTTTAGATCAAAATAAGTAATTATTATATATTTTTATTATAATTAATAATATAGGCTTATACTTTTTTTTTTTTTTAGTAGTAGTAACAACTGTACAACCTCAGCAGCAAACTTTGCAACCTCAACAACTTCAACAGGAGTTGCAATAGCAAGCTTTACAACCTCAGCAGCAAACTTTGCAACCCCAACAACTTCAACAGAAAGCTGTACAACATCAACAGCAAACTTTGCAACCTCAACAAATAATCTTGAAGTTGAATCAACT